TTTTTTTTTCAAAATACCAAACAGATCATGCATTTTAGCCATGCCTCATTTCGCTCTACTTGCTCTATTCCAGCCCTGTTTTTGCAAGGGCTGATTCTGCTTTTGTGGCAGATTACAGCGCCACTTACAGGCCTGGCATATGCACTACAGCGTCTCCAGTGCTTTCGAGCGGTCTCTCATTCCCCTGATAGGTGGAGAGTTGCCCATATAGGCGGAGCACCCCTTTTCTGACGTCAGAAAAATTCAAATAATCAGCTCCATTGCAGCCCCGTTTTTAGAGATTTGGGTACGGAGGAAAAGAGAGAGGGTTGTGTTTTCTGACACTTGGTGAGTTCCCTGACACACCGGGGACACATTCATGTATAAAAGACGTACAAAAGTGCATTTTGCATGATAGGTCCCCTTTAAAGTTAATCCAAGTCTTAAACCTACCTTGCCTTAAGCTGTAGGATCCCTGATTCAGAAATGGACTCGGGTCATTGATGATCATGCAGATGGTTATACAGAATGTCTTGCTTCACACAGACTCTCTTCACCTTTTGTGCACCACAGCCTCCTCAGAGTCCCTGATCTTCGCTGCAGACGGCGCCGGGGACGATGACGATGAGGTGGTCTCGTCAGGGGACTACGGGATCGACGGCAGTGCTCCCTGGTATCTGCGGGTGCAGGAGCTCGCACACGACAGCCTGATCGCCGCCACGCGGGCACAAATCGCGAGAGATGCCCGGGCCTGCCAGGACGCCAGAGCTGCAAGTGTCAGCAATGGTAATTACGACGTCTTTCATTACGATTAATCAGGCAGTTCTTGATAAAGCGTTCGAGAGAAAATGTTAATAAAATGTGCAAGGTGATATCTGTAAATGACACGTTTTCACACTCCAAACTCCAAATATATTAGCTTTATTTTGATATGTAATAGACAAAACAAGGACACCTCTTAATTGTAGGGGTTTGAAGAAGACATTTTTTGCATCTATCATAACGATTAATCCTTTTTATAAAAGTAGTTGTTGATGATATTTCTGTCCATCAAGTAATCGATGCAGCTTTAAAATCAAACGGCAGACAGTTACAGCCCCTCTGTGATGTAGTGTCACTATAATGAATATAAAGGAGAAATGGAGGCTGCGTTCAGGAAGATAACATCAGCCCGTCTGCTTTCTGCTAGCATCAAAGACAGAAAGAAGAGAAACGAGGTCAGTGATGAGATGAAAATGGAGTGTAATCAGCACCGACTGAAACTGTTCAACACTTGTCATCATGAGTCTCTAAATCTAAAGTAATTTGTAACATTCTCAACACGGATTTACAAGTCTGACTGCAAATATCTAGTGAAGGCTTAAATGGAACATTATCGTGAGACATTGATCAAGCCTCAGCACGGATTGTTGTGCTGTGTCTGTGATGATTTAATGTGCATTTAGTGGATGGCTAATGCTTCAGAGAGGGAGAGAGAGTGCAGCAGCTGGAAGACAACAGGATGGAGACAGGAGATAGAAGACAGGAGAGAGGACAAACAGGTGGTCAGAAACAGATCTGCAAATAGAATCTCTTAATGACAATACTTTTATTTAGAACTTGGAAGAAATGTTGTCATGGAATAAAACAAAAATGTCTGTTTTACTCAACTATAACCTTTAAAGGGCCCTATTATGATGTGTGGGTGTCTGTAGACCCACTTTGATTCATTCAAACATTCGAAAATGCTTTCTGCTGCTGCGGACAAGAAAGCCACTCAACTCACGTTCACCGAGGCATCAACCTCCAAAACCCTTTCGAGGGCTACAAGAAACGAAGTGAGTAGCCTACAAGATTGAAGCTGGTCAGATAACGAACGAGTAAATGAAAACAGAATGAGGCGTAGAAGTGTGTGTGTGGGGGGGGGGGGGGGGGTGTGTGTGTGATTAAAATTGCCCAATTGCTTTTACAATAAATAAACATTGAATGTGTTTAATTGAATAGTAAAGGGGTTTAACGTTAGTGGCAGGTTGTGTGTGAGAAAGAATAAATAAGACAGCCCAATATTTAAAAAATTTTTAATTCTTTTTTCCCGCATATTTCGCAACTTTCCGCATATTTCGCAATTCCACCGCATAAAATCACATAAAAACCCTGCATCTTTAATCACATAATCAAGGAATTCAGCCCACATAATCAGGATTTTTGCCCGTGTTTTTCTGGAGGGTCTAATATTTGTTTGATTCTTACATAAGAAGAAATATACAAACATCACTTTAATGCTCTAACAGGGATGTCGTTTTTGGGCAGGGAACTTTCTTGAATCCTTACTGGTTGCTTGGTAACAGTCAAGAAATCAGTGTGATAGATTTGAAGCAAAGTACGACCCTATATTCAAAAAGGCAAATATATTCTGAAAGTTACAAAGATCAAGTATGATAAGAATATGTTTTGAAGTGTATTTCTTGTCTAGAGTTGTTTACTCCAGCTCCTCCACTTGCCGACATGATGTCTTAACCTGTTGCTTACCCTAATCTCTTTCACTCTTTTGACTGTGAAGCGGTACACTTTGATGTAAGACAAACATCTACTTCCTGCGGCACATAGCGCAAAAAAACAACAACTCTTTGACCCTCACCATGAGTCAGGACTTCATCACAGTCCTCTGCAGGCTGCTGCTAGATAAAGAATTGCTCCATGACATCCAGGCTCCATGACTCCTGGTTACGTCTTTGAACTGCTTCTGAGCCCAACTGCAGCCAGAGGTCCTTGTCAGAGAAGTGATATTAGAGGTGTTCTCATCTTTACCTGCTCCTAGTTTATGTCCTTGCACTCAAACTCAGATCCCACGGTTTATGAACTTATACTTACATGCATATTGTCAAATGATAATGTAGCTTATATTAAGTTCAGATGCTTGTTTTAGCACCGGAATTCACTGGATTTTATTCAAGCATTACTAATCTGGCAGTTGGTAATAGTGAGCCTAATTTACGCTCTTTTATGAACTGCCAGTTGGCTAAATCCATAATTTAATTTATTAGGCAATATATATTGTGTTTATTAAGTTGATCAGAATCTGCAACAATAAATTAGTAGTTAATGTTAACAAATAAATATAGTGGGGTTAAAGTATAACGTTGGCTTCCAAACTAGTGAAGTAGAAGTATAACGCATAGTATGAACATACTCACGATCCTTCAAAGTTGTTAGCATCAAATATCCTTGGATACAAAAAAACATAGGGCTTGATTTATATGTTGTATTACTGATCTGAACATGCAAAAACTGGACTAGAAAGTATAATATGGGATAAAAGTGGAGTGAAGTAGAAGAATGTAGAAGCATTAAGTAAAGTACGAGCACCTCACAATGTCTAAGTACAGTACTTAAGTAAATGCACTCAGTTAAATTGCCCTCCTGTACAGTTGTTCTTACCTCTTTATAATTTCTCCACATTAACCCTTGACATTTTATTTCCATGAAAGGTCTATTAATAACAGTTATCTGAGGAGGGTCGTGTCTTTGATAGAATCAAGGTTACCAAAACCAAGTGTTATACACACAGAAGCGCATAGAACAAAATACTCTAGGGCAACAATTACGTAAAAAGGTGTAAAATACTTTGTGCACGGTTGGATAGCATGTGTGCAGCAGCCTGAAAATGGTTTCAGAGAGGGACTAAAACCGCACTCTCTGAGCGGTTGATGCTGCCCTCCCATTAACTCGCTGCAGATGAGGCAAGTTGCCCAGCAGCGGGGTGTCGGTTACAGGTGCATTACTGCCGCACGCTGTAAGCAAAATTGGCCCTGTTAAAGGCTCTGAAGGCGGGGAGTCAGCGCAGGTGAAAGGGAGTGATTGCATTCAGCTTGGGGGGTTGGGNGGGGGGGGGGGGGGGGGGGGGTCTTTCTGCTGCTGTCGTTCTGCAGGTCAGCTCTCACTCAGTACCCGATGATTAGCTTTTATACGGCCAGGCTCCAGAGGCTCTCCTATATTGTTTTTCTGCCCAAACCCGCTCATTTTCCCTCTCCTGGTTGCCTAGGCGACCACACGCACGGTTCCCCGGCAGACGGGGACAAGCGGGAGCTGCCGACTCGGACCAGCCGCCCCCTCTCCAAGCAGGTCCTCCGCTGCTCCTTCGAGGGCTGCTGCAGGACGTTCACTTGGCCGGCTCACCTCAAATACCACCTGAAAACACACAGGTAACGCGCGCGCGCGCACACACAGACAGACAGACAGACAGACAGACAGACAGACAGACAGACAGACAGACAGACAGACAGACAGACAGACAGACAGACAGACAGACAGACAGACACAATGCATATATACAAAATGCTTCTGTTCCCTATGCCTGAAACTGTGCAGGCCTTATATCCGAACAACCAACTCCATGCCCTTACAACACACCAGCAATCCCTATAAAGTCATAAAACAAAGAAGCCTTAATTGTATAATGCTGGAGAAATTTGGTTGAATACTAAATTAAATTGTTCATCTTGCCTTAAAGCACAGGGATTATGAGAACTGTTAGTTCTTTGAAGGTGGACGATTTGTGTTCGGTTGACCATCCATTAATGGGAGAGACATGTTTTCCAGGAGATCACACAGAGTGTCCACAGGTTGTTTACAGTGCAGGCAGCTGAACAGGGGGAGCACAGCTGAGGCAGTATTTGTGCTGCAGGGATATGTATGAGGTGCGCTGTTGCAAATAGAACATCTGCGCGGGAATCACCGAGACATGTTTGTTTTTCTGGGCTCCCAAGGAACGACCGGATGTTCAGGTGCGGCGCGGAGGGCTGTGGGAAGAGTTTCTACGTGCTGCAGAGGCTGCAGGTTCACATGAGGACGCACAACGGAGAGAAGCCCTTCACCTGCAAGGAGAAGAACTGTGGCAAGAAATTCACCACGGCTGGAAACCTGAAGAACCACAGGCGCATACACACAGGTGACTTCTACAACAACAACAAATACCCAAACAAGCTGGGAGCAATAACTGACTCAGGCCCTTTTCCTCTGCTCATGTAATGCTTCCTCTGTGAAGTCATGGCCGGAGATTTTGAAGAGTCAGCAGCACTGGCGCCTCCGTTTCACTGCCGCGAAGAGAAACAATGCTTTGTCATATTTTATTTAGGGTGACATTAAGATTTTTGATGGCCTGTTCCAGAGTCTGCTTCTAATGTGTAAGGATGCGTTAGCAGAGCACTGTACGGTTTTTACAGCTTTCTACGAGCCATCACATCCACTTAGTCCGACGACATTATATTACAATTTGAATGTCTCCGGCAGCAAAACAGGTCCATAAGATGACTACATTAAGTGTTAGTCTTGTGGAGTTGAACAATATGTGTGTGTTTCTAGGGGAGAAGCCTTTCCTGTGTGAGGCAGATGGCTGTGGGCGATCCTTTGCCGAGTTCTCCAGTCTACGGAAACACATGCTCGTCCATTCTGGTGAGTGGGACACGGCTAACAGCTGTAAGGAAGATAACTTTCTCCTAATCAAGCAGATAGAGTGTATCCTACGAGAGGTAGCCCGTATCAAGTAGGTTGGGATCACAGGACGTGTGTGTGTGTTTCCAGGTGAGAAGCCTCATCACTGCGGAATCTGCGGGAAGACTTTCTCTCAGTCGGGCAGCAGGAACGTGCACATGAGGAAGAGGCATGGAGAGGAGGGGCTCGGCAGTGAGAGCAGAGAAACAGGTCTTTCTCTTCCACACACACACACACTCACTCACTCACTCACTCACTCACTCACTCACACGCACACACCGTGGCAGTAGGTGGTTATGCTAATCCTCGGATTATGTACCTTCAAGCGGCCCATACATTTTAAAAATGTGCATAGAGATACTGTGGGTTTAAGTTACTTTTAGGAACATTTGTTGAATAATTAATGATTTGAAGCACTTAAAAATTCATCACTCAAATGTTTTTCTTCAGACCCTGTAGCGTAATTGTTTCAGATTGCAACACATTTGTGGGAAAAGCAGAGACGGCACAGCTCTACTGCAGAAATAGGACTGTTAGGCGCCGTGTGATGGGGGCAGAATTGTCACTAAAGTGTGTAATCACCCAGCTAAAAGGGCAGATTAAGCTCGCTTTAAAGTCTTTTTGCAGTCACCTTACAAATGACTCACAGAAATGACTGGATACTGTAGTAAATCTTCCTCTGCAGCGAAGGGATCACTGCTGCCTTTACTCTCAGTATCACTTTCAGTATATCTTCAGAGTTAAAGCGCCTCTCAATGAGCTCTTTACATCCCAGCATATGGTCTAATTGTACCAAATTCGCTTAACATTAGTTTTCCCGCCCTGAAACAATAAAGCCGACACATTTGTGTAGCAGTGGGGAAGCGCCGCCGCTGAATCACCACAAAGGAAACGCTGCCAAAGCCTCTAATTATAAACTGCAGATGTATCCGGGTCAGCCTCCCCAAAGAGGCTGGTCTTTTGTAAAAAGCAGAGCAAAAGAAGATGCCGCTTCACAACAGAGGGGTGCTTTCTGAGTCACTCCATGAATAATTACATTGACTGTGTTGGAGAAAACAACTGTCCTAAAAACAAACAAAAAAAAGCTACATACGGTAATTAAAGTGAGTGATAACGAGCGGATTTCAGGTTTGAATATTGACTTTGATCCATTACAGAACACAGATTGAGTCCAGTGTGTTCACCCCATTCTCGTTCTTCTTTTGAGTTAAACAGCTAAAGAGGGTTGTTGGTCTGCCCCTGACAGGAGAGGCTCTGACACACAGCAGCCTGCTGGAGGCCGACGGCGAGAATGGAGACACTATGGTCACCATGACAACGGCTGTGGAACCCATGAATCTCCACCACGCCATGCTGAGATCACCAGGTATGAATTTAAACTTGTACAGCAGGGAAAACCCAACACACACACACACACACACACGGGTGAGCTAACATGACACTTCGCAAAATAAAATGTTGACGCTCTCAATGTTCTGTCGATGTAAGAGGTGCTGAGTCAGCGCGGGGTGATGCTAATGTCGTGTTGAATGTTGTTTGATCATTCCTTGCGACAGACGCTGTTACTCTTTCAGCTGGTTACTTTGCTCCATGATAGAATGGAGATAGTAGAAGTAGAAAATACACATATAGTCAGTCTTTCTTTGTTGGTCTGCGTTTTACTCACGCTGTTGGTCTCTAAAAGTTTTGTTCTAAAAAGTTGGTTCCAACCCAACTATGATTTATTTATGTAACCCTTTGACCATTACTTACAATTACATTGTGTAACTGGAGCACTCAAAGCCAAGTGGCAGTCTGTTGATTCTACTCCATCATTCTCAAATGCACTCGAGCCACAACGTAGTATTTGTTGAGTTGTATGCATGTAACGTTGATATAATGTTAGGTTAATATTCATCTACCTGTACAGTGCTTATACTTAAAAGTATACTTTCTGGGCGTTTCAGTATATATTGGGTATTTCAAAGCGGTGTGTTACTCTTATTATTAGTAGAAGTGTGTCTTATTTTATTCCTTTTTGCATTTTCTTTTCTTAATTATAATTGTTTTGTAAAACTTTCTTTGTCTGACTGGATTTTCTGCATTCGAAATGTAAGTATTTAAACAAAACATGTTTACTGGTAAAGGAGGATGGTGATCACAGTAGACAGTAAACCACACTGAAATGACCGTAATACGTATTTCACATAAAACCTCAGTCTTAACAAATAGCAAACAAAGGTCTTTACTTAATTAGTATTTAAGCCTCTGTTGTCATTTGGTCTACTCCCTGTACTAGAGCCTTTGACTTAATGATTCACTATTCAACTTTAAGGACCAGCCCTTAGCTAATATCTGAAAAGCACTACAATTGTTCCAGTTTTCAGAGTTTCAAGTGAAAATGACGCTTAAAATCATTTCAAAAAGATAGTTTCGCTCTTACCTTCCATGAATCGATCTAGATTGTTTTGGCGTGAGCTGCAGAGTGTTGGAGATATTGGCCGTTGAGATGAATAAATAGCACTACGGGTGTATTTTTAAATGTATGTGTTAACTAACCCTTTTTAAAGTCCATTTGTAATGCATTATTTAGAGTGAACACTTTTACTCTGAATAACTTTATATGCTCAATATTTTGTGAGTATCTTTAAATGTCCTCCAGTTTTTCCTAACTCAGCCTGTTAGCATTCAAACCAAAAGGCGGTTGAAAGCTTGCAGAAACGTTTTAGTAGACTTCTGCCCCTGAAGGCGTTCCATCCCATAATAACTGGTGTTATTGACAGCATGCATTTGATCTATTTGAACATTTATTTTCCTCCCCTCCAGGCTCCGCGGATTCGGTTGTTGTCCTCTCTCAGCCCCATGAATTGGTGACCATGGCGACCGAAGGGCATGCGTACGGAGAAGATGTGGTGGCGCTGCTGTAGCCTGCCATCGTGAGAAATCATCGACACGCTGAACGTCTCTGTGTAAATAGACCAATCGCTGACGCTCACCCCCTTGTAGATATTTGTAATTATCCACCGATGATGCTTTTATTTTGAAATGGCAAAGTTTGTACAAACAACCTTTTTCCTCATGTTTTTTGTTTTTAACAAATACTCCCAAAGAAATAATGAGACGGGTTTAAAAGTTTATGAAAATATAATGACCATGCATTGTACAATATGTAAACAGCAGTGTGAAATGCAGCGATGATGGAAAATGAGTCCCACTCCTTTTTTAAAAATGGAATGGCTGTAAAGGTACCAGTTGCCCATTATTATTAACTACAAAACACATGACTTCAAATCTACTAAAGCACAGGGTCATGTTGCTGCATGTAAACATTGGTCTCCCCCCCCCCCCCTGTTGCTGCATGGTACAAACATTGGTCTCCCCTCCCCTCCCCTGTTTATCATCCCGAGGAAAACATCACTCTCAAACAAATTGGGTTTCCGGTAATGCCCAGATATGCATTAACGGTTATTGGCAACATCTCTCACTCAAGTGTCAACCTTCAGTGCTCCACTTGTTCTCTGAGTAAGACAACACATTGCTCCTTTACAATATATTAACACTTGAATGCTTTTTTAAACAAAATTATGAATACTCATGCAGCCGCTAGATAACCTGTGTGTTACCGAGCAACACCTACTCCTGCCTTCTCCTCAGAGGACCTTCAGGTCGTGGAGGTGATCCAACGTGGCGCCTAAAGCCCAGCTGGCCTCCACGTTGTTCACTTTCTTGGTCAACTAGGAGAGGGGAAGAAGAAAAACACCAAATCACTCAAATGCCTTTTGTATTTATTTAAATAAAAAAAGTAACAGAATATTTTTGTTTTTTCTTCATTCACATATTGGCAATAATTGTGCTCTTTTGTTAGGTCTCACCTTCACTTAGTTTGAACATGTGGATTTTAAAACGTTTTTTAGTGACAGAAAAGGGTCACAGAGCCTTGTAGCTACATTACAAGTGAGTCATGGTCTTCTTATTCACAGCCTTAAAACGGAACAGTTAAAATAAGGCAAATGTAACTGTACCATGCTTGTGTCTTTCATGTAAGTCACTAGTTTATGATGCAAACCACACGATCTAAGCTACACAACTTTCAACGAGAAATCGATTTTATAGTTCTGAGCAACCTTTTGAAAAATGTTCCTTCCTGTGTGTTTGGAGGCCACAGTCTTTGGTGCAGCGCCGCCTCACCTGCAGCACGGTGCTCTCCTTGAAGCCGAATCCATCCTTGAGCAGACAAGTGATGTAGGTCATGTCCATGCACAGGAAAGAACGGATGGGGGGGTGCTTGGTCATCTTATTGCACACTGAGCAGAAACAAATGGAAATGGATGAGGAGCAGGATCCCAGTCAGCCGCGAGGACACAAGCCCGGGCTATTCAGACGCACACAGTGATACAGTACAGGGTGATCAGATCTGTCATAGTGAGGACGCACTGATTGGCTCATCTCACCCTCTTTAGCCCTCTTCTTGAAGTCTCTGACCTCCAGCGTCCCCCCATGGACCCCATCTGCAGCAGGAAGCGATAGGGTCATTTTCAACACACTTCATATACTATTCATTAGGAGAGCATACGCACATTTCCATAATACTAATGATACACCTTGTGCCGTTAAGCTTGGAATGGCAGTATAGCATCTCTCTAATAGCTACACACCTATAGCTTGTCAAATCCCCCGAGACAGGTGTAGATGACTCATACTTCTCTGTCTTGCATTGGAATGGGTAATCGCATCCTGCTGGCCTGTATAAATATATATTGTGTGTGTGTGTGTGCGCTTACCGATAAGGCCTGCATCCACTGCTCGGTCAAAGTAATAAGAGAATGCATAGAATACATTGCTGTCTTGGAGCTCATGCGGCTGGTGAATAATCCCCTTCACCACCTTAAGTACTTCCTGATAACAAAGCTTGTATCCTGCAAGACCTGGAGAAGAAACAGAGACACGGCATGGTATAATATGCATCCTCTGCTGGAACAGCACCTGACTCTAAAGCAAGGAATCTCTTTTTTCTCAAAATGTCGACATACTTTACTAAGCTGTTATTTTGCATATTTTTCAACACACTATACTATTATTTATTTTTGTTGTATTTTGGCATTTGGCGTATGTATTGTTTTTTCTATAATTTCTAACAATACCGTACAATGACATTTTTTTTCAACATACTAAACTATGACCTTTTGTTATATTTCCGACATACTATGCAAAGTCCTTTTCCTGATGATTGTGACATGCTATACTAAGTGGTTTTTTTTATACTTTTGACGGAACTTATGTTGTTTTTTTGCATATTTTTATCTGATCTTTCCAACATCAAGAAAGTTATAGTATTTGTCGGCAGTATTTCACATCATATTTAAAAAAAAAGCCATAATACACAATGTAAAAAAAACAAATCACAGTTAAATTCACATTTTAGTATTTGGCGAAAAAGTCATAGTATATTATGCTGAAAATGATCATAAAAGCTTAGTATAGTTTGTGATAAAAATCAAAGTCTATAGTTTCTATAGTTTCGAGTAAGTTAATACATAATAGATAATAGAGTGTGTCACAAAAAAGGTAAATAAATAGTATTTCATAGAAAATCATAGTATATATAGCATACAAATAATTCATAGTAAAGTATTTCATCAAACGTGCATGTTGTGCTCATAACAAACAGTAGTACCCTATATCTGGAATTGCTGGTGTTAGGTCTCTATCATGTTACAGTAACCAAATGAACGCTGTGTCCAAGATACATGAGCTTTGGATTCACTCAGTGACTGTTTATACTGTAAACAGGATCTTACCATCTGGGTCCCCGCCCACTCGATATGTCAGCCCTCCAAAGCTCCATTCATCCCTGAACTTCTTTGGCAGGCAGGAACTTTTAAAAACCCGCCACTCCAACCCTGTCAGAGCAGAGAAGCGACTTTTTAATTTTCACTATGGTCTGAGACTGACTCTGAAGCCCTTCGGTGATCCATCTCAGGGTTTTTGAGAGAGAAAGGGTTGAATGTGCGTACCAGAAAAACATCTCTCTCTTGTTAGCTCCTTTAATCAGCATCGGGAGAAAAAATACAGGAAGGAAACAACACCCGAGAGAGCGCTGAAGAGCTGACTCTGGATCCTTCTGAGACACGCTCACAATGAACAACACTGATCCACACAGCTAATGGCAACAGAGAACCCCTTCCTCATGTCCAGCACAGTACCTTCTGCCCCCAGAGCCCCCAGCGTGGCCAGCCTCGCTGCCATCAGTCCATTTCCAAGGTAACTGCAGGAAGTTAGAGGATTGTTGTGAAGTTACAAAAGCACCCACAACAGACTGTGCACAAGAGAGTCATTCTGAAAATAGGCCAAACAAATGCAGCCTGCCTATTATTCACATCCTAATGACTAAACAGCTGATAGAAGTGTTCCCTAATTAAGAACAGAGTGAAGTTATGAAGATAAGATGTAACATAATTAGTCAATACTCGAAGCCACAAGTATTGCAATTACCTTGAGTAGACATTTAATCCGGTATTAAATGATGCAATCACGAGGTTTAAATGCAGGATGAATTTGTTTTATGAATAAATAAATAAATAACACATTTTACCTGTAAGTGTACAATTCAAATGTGGAGTTGGAGATGTCATATTTGGCAACGTAATCAGCGACAGGAACACTTTCAATGGTTTTCTGACGTGGGAAATGAAGGACATGATGGGTTATTCATCGGAAAATAGTTTTGAAATCTTGTCTGAAGAGTGCAAAACAAACAGCTGACCCTGAGCTTTGGCAGGAAAGTGATCTGCGTAGATCCTCCGCCCAGATCCAAGATTCCCACCGTCCTCTCGCTGTGTGCATTCAGGTGACCTGGAAAACATTTCCTACTTTAGCTTTAATCTAGCAGCCTCCACAGAGAGGAGCTAATCAGTTATACCTTAGATGCTATCTTCAAAAGGCCTATCTGACACAGAACCCAATAGTATACAATCCTGAGCCTGATAAACATCTGAGCTATCCCCTCGAGGCCACAGCATCACAGCTGTATGCATTCAGTATTTGTGTCTATAATAAGACGCGGATGATTTTCAGACGGAGAGTTACATTTGGAGTTTACAGCACTCACCTGTCAGATAGTTCACAGATATCCAAGCCAGGATTCCTACGTTAGAGAGATCGGCGAACAGAAAACAGACATGTCAAGCACACGTTCATTTGAGAAAAGCTGACAACAAATTCTCACAGAAATTACAACATGCAAAACACGTGAGTAAAAGGTATAACCCTGAAAAACAAGGTCGAAACGCTGACAAATCATTACACCTTTTCACAACAGGCAATAACAATGTCTCAATATGTAATTACAGGCTTTTAAGGTCAAAACAACTTAGTGGTGAAGAGCAGTTTTCCTCAGTATCATCATGAAAGATAGGCAATAATCTGCAATGATGCCACCTCCCAACGTGCTGCAGCGAGATGTGATAACTGACTAATGCGTCGAGCCTTGGCAGACGCTACCTTCATTTGTGCCGTTCATTATGCTGACGCTGTCGTCTGGGACCCAAAACGGAGATTCATCAAACACGTGTTGAACCTGTGGAGAGAGAGGGGTGAGAGTGAGGGGGAGGGAGACAGAGGAAGGGGGAGATGGAGAACGAGGGGGCCAAGGAAAGCAGCAGAGGAATGGCCTCCGTGTTATCTACTGTAATGGGAGCTCATCCAGAGGTGCCCTCCGCTTCGAGGGATTCATTAATTCCCTCAGGGGGATTAATAACGTATCATTCATCTTCCAAGGTGCCCCGAGCAGCCATTACTATCTTATCCCTTCCACAGGAGCCTTCCACACTAAGCTTCCTCCACTCTGATAACAATACTCTGCCCTAACACTGAAAATGTTCTTTCCTCCCTCCATGGATAAGAGGTTCCTGAGAGAATGTCAGACAATGGAGTGCCTTACAACTCCCTGATGATAAAGAACTGCACTCCACTCTACAGAGGGCTCAACAGCCTGTAATGTCTCGGAGCTACTGCATTATTTTTACCTGCTCCAAAAGCAGCCGGGCTCTCTCTGCGGACAGCAGCCGAAGTCCAGCCGTGGCTCTGAGGAACAGGGGGGTTCTCTTCCACTCCAGACGAGGCACCGTCTTCTTAGCCACCTTCAACAACATCCTGACGGTGTGTCCAGCCTGCAAAACACACACAGTACTCACCATAAGAATGAGTTACATTTATATAGCGCCTTTCATATACCCAAGGACGCTTTTATAAAGGGGGGGGGAACACTAAACACAATCTGGGACAGAACACAATGGGACTACAAAGAAAACAGACAAGGAGAGAGAAGGCAGATGAGGCGATGTATGATGGAAGAAGTAATCAGGTCTTAATTAAATGTGCATAAACATAATTCTTTTTTACAAGCAAAAGTCCTGCATACAAATTCTACTTAAGTAAAAGTACAAAAGTGTTAGCATCAAAATATAATTAAAGTACTACAAGTACTTGTTATGGAAGATGAACCATCAGTACTGTTTATATCATATATTTTAAATGTATAAATATAAAATCACTGCATTAACTTTTTTAATGCATTAATGTCTTCATCACAGCTGGTGGAGGAGTAACTACCTTATATACTGCTGCTGGATATTTTAAGCTATAGTTATTTTATAAAAACAATGAATAATTGGTTTTTATTAGAGTTTTTTTTAAGTCTAATAATCTGTATCTCTATACTAAAATTGTTGGATAAATGTAGAGTAGTACAAGTCAAATATTGGCTTCTAAAATGTAGGGGAGTAAATGTAGGAAGTAGCATTAAATGAAAATATTGTAGGAAAGTACAAGTACCTCACTATTGTACTTAAGTACAGTACTTGAGTAATTGTACTTTACTGGTCAAAGTTCCGAAAACACTGAAGTGTTACATCAGGCTGAATATTCACTTGTTTGTCATTTTTGGCTTTCATTAGCAATGTGACCCCCCGCAGAGAGAGGCTATGGCAGTGTGTCTGAATACAATGCAGGGAGGAAGGACCTTTCCTTCGGCTCAATAGAATTGATCTGATTTGACAATGAACTCACCATATCTGGGGAGTCAGCATACGCGGACAAACCAGGCTTTATGGAGTGGAACATCTCATTGTCCAAAACAGGCAGCTCCTCTAAAAAGATACAAGATCCGCCCACATCAAATATACAGCCGCTATTAAAAGCCTTAAGAGGCCTAAATCTGCTTAGCATACATATGAAGAATATATTCCTTCATTCAAAATTAGGCATGTTGGCTTGAATCTGGCAAAATAGGATTATTTCGCTCAAATTAAATGAATTCAAGTATAGCCTCTGTGCCCCGAGGAGCAGGTTTACTGAAGCTGTGAGGAGAGAGGGAGAGAAGAGGAGAGGAGGAAGAGCCAACATATCGGCTTGTTACTCAGCTGTTTGCCTTGTAAATCAATTGATCACTGGCCATGTAAACACATTACACCCTGACTGCAGTAAATACGATGAATTAACCTGCCTCTCACCCGGGAGGCTGACATGATATCATGAGTGAAACAGCAGAGTAATCACAGATACATGGAGTAATGTGGGTGTTATTACCTGACCCGCCATGGATGAAGGTGTAGACGTGGATGCGTGTCCCTGTGCTCCCCGCATCAAACATCACTGAATAGAAGATGCGGCTGTGGTTGGCGGGCCGGCTGAGGTTGGGCAGGAGGCCCCCCATGCTTTGGGTCAGATCCAGGAGAGAGGTCCTGACCTTGGCCCGGCTCAGGTGAACAATAGAGAGCAGGAGCAGGAGGAGAAGTGACCCGGCGGGTGTCATCTTCTCTCTGGAGGATTAACAGAAGAACAATATTTGAGGTCCTCGTGTTAAAGCAGCTATTCTATTAAATGCTATTCAACTGTTTAGCTCAAACCTCTGCTGACCAATTTGCTAGTTGTTCAATTACAGCCTGACGAGCAGGAGTGTTATTTATGCTAGACCACACCCCGCCAGACCTCTAAGCAACCGCAGAGACGTAGCCCAAAATCCACCTCTTTGCTGAGTCGACTCCTGTAGAGACCTCAGGAAACATCACAACACTGTGTTGGACTTAACGTGGTGGAATGTAATCCTTTCATCTCCGATCAATACAGGCAACTCAAGCAATGTGAGGAATTATGATTTCTTAAAAGCTTCAGTCAGGCAGTGCTCCGCGGGAGACGCCTGCTCAGGCACGGTCACTCTGCTTTCATGGAGAAATATCAGACATTTTAATACAATATATTTTACTGCCTGACAGTTCTAGTTAAATTCAGTTTCAAGCTTTTAAGAATTAATTTGCAGTTAAAGGACCGTCTAATAACTGAGCCTCTGTTCTGTCCCTTAATTATTCATTATTCATTAATCCATGAAATGTTTCAGAAGCTAAGTGGCATCCATACAGAAGAGTCATCTTCTTAAGATACACTCCTCGTGGTTTTATTGTATGCCTGTATTGCATACTGCATGCTCCTTTGTGTGAAAATATGAGGTAATCTGGATATATGATTATTTAAATCAACACTCCGCTAGAAAAGATGAAAATGCACCGGCTCACCTCAACATTTTATTAAACTAGTTATGTCTCAACCTGAACTTGTCCTCCATCCCATCATACGAAGCGTCACATCTCAACATGTGAGAGCATTTATTAAAATCTTCACTGGTCTGGCAGGGGGAACTTAGTGGAATATGTTTTCACTCAGGTCCACAGTGGCTTGTATTAAAGGTCCCATGTCATGCTTTTCCGGTTATTACCCGTCCCCTTGTGTGTTATGTAGCTTTTTATGTAGTCACAAACCCTCAAAGTACACCCTGTAGCGAGTAGCCTACAGTACGCTGCATCGGCCCTGTAAACGTTACGCGCTTACAAGTGTAGATGCACTGCGTTTGGGGGTGCGGGTGTTGGAGCCTCGCAGATGGGGGTGCTGCAGCCCCCTCAGCACCCCCCCCCCCTCCCGCATCGTAAGGCTGAGTTCAGGATGGCGATGTCTCGCTGTCTCGCAGACCCCACGCAGCAACCAGGAAATGACACCAGCTCATACTGTCCGCTCCTCACAGCAGCGAAACCCGCAACGTCCCGCCAACACGGCACCCAGACCCCACGCAGCATTCTCATGTTTGTCATCATAACTGGTGTCATTTCCTGGTGGCTAATGCCATTGTAACACATAATCACTGATGTTCCGCTGTAACGGTGGTGTTCATCAGAACAGAGTGGGCGAGCTGACCAATCAGAGACAGTTCAGTTAGGGGGGGGCGAGGAAGTGTTAGGACAGAGTGTATCACATACTATACAGAGATGCTGCAGGAGAAACCAATGTCATTTTGGAACATTGAACAATGTAAATCTATTCTAGACCTCAACGATGGAATTATGATCAGTAGAAATGGCCATGTCATGGGACCTTTAATGTAAGTATGTGGTGCAGAGTGGGCAGTATCCTGGGAGGCAGAACAAAGGAAGGAAAGTGTGTCAGCCTTGGAGAAGAAAACCTGCATCTAGTTCAGTTATTGCAACAACTTTCTAACGAGACTGTGAGCTCAAAGACATTTTTTACCATGGCATGGTATACTGCAGGGTAGCTTGTGAATTTACTCCAGGTGTAAAGTCTTATTTAAGTGTTTTATTTCACATCATTAATCCAAACCTGCAAAGTGAATGAAGTGGTGTAAAAGTACACGACTACCTCTGAATTGTAGTTGAGTAGAAGACGTACAAATTAGCAACAAATGGAAATATGAGTAAAGTACACGCCCCTTAAAAATGTACACCACAAAGTAGTTTACCAATATCATAGATAGACTGTAGCCTATATATAAATTATTTCTGCTTTTCTCCGCTTGATACATTTGTATTCCAAATACCAAAGACACCTACTTTTAGTGCTAGCTTAGCTACTCGTTAACAATTGAAATAGACGGTTTTATGATAACATCAGCCAGCGTGTATGCTAGGTTAGTGAAAGCTAGCCGGTGAAGTTTGATACTCGGCTAGTTAGCTAACAGACTCGCGTGTCGCGTTACAGTGTGTTATTCGAAGAACCGAAAGCTTAATCTTGAAAAAAGCAGAGAAAACGATTCAAACACATTAAAAAAAGAAGTGTGTATGTCACGTATCGCAGTATTTTATTAACTTTAAACACAGTCCGAGCTCACCATGATGTCCGACTACTCGTCTCGCAGCTGACATGTCATCATGACGTCAGCAGTGTTGTGATGAAGTGGTCTCGCGCAGTGCTCACGGATGTCAAGAGTCAAACATGCCGAGTAGAAGAAAAGAGCCTTCAAAGGAAAACACAGAGGCTGTTGTGTCAATGGGTCTGCCAGCAGGAGCATCATCTCCAGTGCTGAAATAAGTCATCATAAACTTCAGTAAAAGTAGCAATACCAGTAGAGAAGTATTGTTAAAAAAAAAGCCCTGCTTTCAAAATGTAACCTAAGTAAAAGCATAACAATTTCAACATAGCTTGACACACCAATTCAACAATAATATTTTTAGATTATATAATCCATTATTTGTAAAGGTGGGGCTAATTTGTATTGCTTCATACTGTTGTGAAGCTTTATCTATCATATACTGTAAATATGTTTATTTGATAAAAATGTTATATTACGGTAATCTCTAAACGTATCAATTACATAATATATCAAATAAATGTATTGGAGTAAAAAGTTATTATTTCACTGTGAAATGTAGCAGAGTAAATGTAAAGTAAAAATATGAATATATTAAGCAAATGTATCGTAACACAAAGTTACTCAAGTAAAGAAAAAATAGTTCAATTCAAAATACTGTTCATCTGTGAAATTCATTAGGCATTATTTGAGATGATCCATTCAGAATTATAAAAAAACGGAATGATTTTGTCCGTTCACTGTGTCTTTCTTTACATTTAACTTCATTCAAAAAAAACCTAGCTGTCATCGCTCAATCTTTAACCTCCAGACCTATAAAATCAAGAAGAAAAGTTTAAATGCTTCAGATGAAAATATGTCCAGCACATACCATTTCATCACAATGGTTTATAGGGAATATCAAGTTCAAGTCATGTAATTGTAAAACACTTACATTTTTATTTTGTATACCTTTCAAAAATATGACTTTGACAATAGAGTACAAAATCATGAATCTCTAGCCAACAGACAGAAAACACACGTTAGTGCCTATACTGGACAGTAGGATACACATTTAGAGGGACAAGAACTACAACCATTATTTCAGTTTTACAGAGATCTCGTTCTAGTGTATCAATGGCTTGACCTTAACCTACTTTTCAAGTATCTACATAACGCTCTGATAAACAGAACAAGCTAAAACAACCAGAGGATAATGGTGGAAGACATTTGCAGACTGTTTAAAGGAAGAACGCTTGATCCTTTTCATTTCTACTGTAGGTTTTAAGAAATATGACACCAGAGTACGTACTCCCATGATAGAACATTGACAAACCCATGAAGAGACTCACAGCACGATTCATTGCATTAGTGCAGCTCATATTCTGCCTACGAGGTGTAATTTGCATTTGTGTGTTTGTGCAACAACATTGTCCCCAATGTCAAAAGTTAAAACAATCACCAACTAAAAATCCCCAGTGAACATTTCTCAAAAAAGGACATGCAATACTTTTTTTTCCCAATCCCCGCCACAAGCTTCTTGTCAAGGCGTTTGAGAAGTCACTGAAGGTTATGCCAGATGTGCTGCCATCTTAGCGTCCCATGGTTGGCATGGTAACAGCTGGGCTCGTCACAGTGGCGTCTTCAGCCTTCCACTGTGACGTCACAGTCTTGATCTGAGTGTAGAACGACATGCCCTGGTGGTAAACGGACAGAGAACATGTGTTTTTTTTTGTTGTATTTTAACGATCCTACACATGACAGACTGCTTTTGTTAGTTACCTGCTTGCCATAGAAGTTAGTGTCCCCTCTGAATGAGCCTCTGGAGCCAGTGAAAGAGAACATGGGCAGGGGGACAGGGATGGGCACGTTCACACCAATCTGTAAAGTAAAGCATACACACATTAATAACCAATCAAAACTGGAAACAGGATTTTTAACAGCCAGGTGTTATTCTTTGATGAAAGTGTACAGAGTCAAAGTCAAACCTTTTTATATTTTTTAACTGTGACAATAAACACATTGAATTAATATTCATTCTGATGACTCTTTTTAAAAATGGGCACCCAAGAACGCATGGTAAACAAGACGGAATCTGTTTTTGAGTACAGGATAAGGGTCAGCAAGTCCACACGTCGAGAAGCGTCAAAATATTTTCGGTTCATTGTGAAACCTTGGCGCTACAAATTAGACTAGTTGGGGGCGCAAATTACGCAAATGCCCATATGCACATTAAAGGTCTCTGCCTGATGTAGACCATCCTTATTTAAATAGACCCCATCACAAATATCCTTCCTAACAAGCCTTAATGGAAGAGATGGGCTGGCTGCAAGGAAAAACTCTTAACATTTACATATGAGCATTTGCATAATGTTTTGAAATGGACTTTAAAAACTGTGAGATTATTCTTTATATGGCTAAAAAAAAAATGCGTGAAACTTGGTTTGACACATTGGGCGACACAATGATGATCTGTGAGAAAAATCTGAATTGGGTGTTTCACCTTCATGACTTCTGTATCACACTTTATTTTGAGCCATCAAGATGATCCAATAAATATTCACACTTTATATAAAAACATTTTACTCCATGTCTGTTTCCTGTTTTTAAAAACAGAATACAACCCACACTTAACTGTTTACTCTCACAAATGTGACTCACTGAGGACTGAAATAACAACACGAAAGGTGACCGTCTTTTTGAAATCAGACAGAAAAAAAGTGGTCTGTTAAGAGTGTGAATCAATCTCTAGTGTCCTTTTATACAGGAGGCATCTCTCACCTGGCCAACGTCCACCTCGTGTGTGTATTTGCGCGCTGTGGCTCCGTTGGTGGTGAAGATGGCGGTGCCGTTTCCGTAGGGATTATTGTTGATTAAAGTAATCGCTTCGTCAAGGGTGTCCGCCTCCAGGACAACAAGCACCGGTCCGAAGATCTCCTCTGTGTAGCACTTCATGGCCGGCTGGAAGGAGCAGCAGAATGATTACAACAGAGTTTCCTCCAGCATCTAAAATCATCTGCCACGACAACTCCTGAAGGCATCATTAAGAGTATATAATACGCCAGCGTGTGCAGACTTTAGGATGTTTTATCAACACATTAAGAGGAGTAGGAAGAGGTTTTCAAAGTGCATTTTACACTGAAGTCCTTAGGCTCCTATTAAACTCCTCTTTATTTTAATGTTCTTATAACTTACAAAATGTCATGCTGGGATACTGGGACGGTGTATTTTATCATATAACTTTATATTATAACAGAAAAAAAGGCAGCCATGTTGCATCCTTTGCCAAATCTCACCGAAACACCGCTCAGGATGGTGGGTCCCACAAAGTTCCCATTTTCGTATCCCTTGACGTTGGTGTTCCTCCCGTCCAGCAGCAGCTTAGCTCCCTCATCCACCCCGCTCTGGATCAAAGACTCCACCCTGACTTTGGCTTCAGGAGAGATCAGGGGACCCACATCGGCTCCAGGCTGATCACCTTTAGGACACAAAAAAAAAAAGGGCAGTATCATGTTAAAATAGCTTGCCTTTTAATTTGCATTTCAAACAAGAACAGAACAAATAGTATCAAAGACACTTTTTTGCGCTGACACAGTTTCCAATGAAGTTACCTGCGTTGACGCGCAGGGATTTGGAGCGCTCCACCAGCTCTGGGAGCCAGTCGCGAGACTCTCCTACAAAGATTGCGGTGGAGAGAGCCATACAGCGCTGGCCAGCTGCTCCGAATGCAGCCCCCACCAGCTGGTTGATGGTGTTCTCTTTGTTGGCATCGGGCATCACCACACCATGGTTCTTGGCACCCTGGAATGAGAAATGTAGGACATGTTTTTGAAGGAATCTTCTTACATGGAGTGCTAAGCACATATGTAACAAGCATCAGTGATTGACAGCCAAGAACAAAGCTGTCGTCTTGGTAACAGACTGGTTATTATTTTTGCTCGATATATGCTGTCTTTTACAACAGGAACAGTGTTATAAATGAGTGATCATGAAAAACAACTTGAGCCTCACGAGAGGGTTTAGTGTACCATGTTGGACTGCACTCTCTTGCCGTTCTTGGATCCCCGATCGTAGATGTGCTCTCCGGCCGGGTTGGAGCCCACAAAGCTGATGGCTTTGATGGCCGGGTGGTCACAGATGAAGTTCACCGCTGCACAAAGATACAAACTGATACTGTAAGTGTAAATCCACTCTTCTTCTACTTTGCTGCACACGTAAGGCACAAAATAAGAGCAGAAATAGATAGAGGGATTTAAATCCTCAAACACTTACCGGAATTACTTACCGATATAAGCTGCACATAATATGGAAATGTCCCATCTACATATTGCCAGGGGGTCTATGATTAGATTGAATAACACACAGATCTCAGAGTCTCACCTGCGTGCTGGCCGTGGATGATGTTCAGGGTACCATCTGGCGCTCCGGCGTCTTGGAGCAGTTTTGCCAGGAGCATAGTGCACCCTGGGACGCGTTCAGAGGGCTTCATCAGGTAGGTGTTGCCGCAGACCATGCCGATGGGGAACATCCACAGAGGAATCATAGCGGGGAAGTTAAACGGAGCGATGCCGGCGCACACTCCGATTGGCAGGCGGTAGGTGAAGGTGTCCATGTCTTTGGAGATGGAGGGTAACGTCTCGCCCAGCATGAGGGAGGGAATGCTGCAGGCATACTCAACAACCTCTGGGAGGAGGAAATGAGGATGAAGTAAACCAATAACATGTGTAGAGATATACAGATATGGGGTTTGTTTTAGGCCTGTGTGTATAAGGTAGACCCTCCAGAAAAACGCGATTCTGCGATCGCAGAATTTACCGCATAATCAGCAAAATGGCGCAGATTTTTAAAAAGCCGCATATTTATCAAAAGGCCGCATAATCCCCGCATTTTTCCACACAAAGTTGAGAAGAAAAAAAGTTAACTCGTCTTGACGTGACGTCATCAGCTCGCGCATCACAGAATGTAAACAACACTGTATAGAGCTCATTTACCAACGAACATTTCTACTAAAGACCGGGCAAAAAGTGGGGGGAAACTATTCTGCACCCCGTGCAACTGTGTGTTGCAGCATAAGAGAAAATCGACGGTGGCGACCCACTTTGATTCATTCAAACATTCGAAAATGCTTTCTGCTGCTGCGGACAAGAAAGCCATTCAACTCCCGTTCACCGAGGGATCAACCTCCAAAACCCTTTCGAGGGCTACAAGAAACGAAGTGAGTAGCCTACAAGATTGAAGCTGGTCAGATAACGAACGAGTAAATGAAAACAGAATGAGGCGGAGAAGTGTTTGTATGTGTGTGTGTGAGATTAAAATAGCCCAATTGCTTTTACAATAAATAAACATTGAATGTGTTTAATTGAATAGTAAAGGGGTTTAACGTTAGTGGCAGGTTGTGTGTGAGAAAGAATAAATAACACAGCCCAATATTTAAAAAAATTGTTATTCTTTCCCCCCGCATTTTTAGCCTATTTCGCAACTTTCCGCATATTTCCTAACTTCCCGCAATTTCACTGCATAAAATCACATAAAACCCCGCATGTTTAATCGCATAATCAAGGAATTTAGCCCGCGTTTTTCTGGAGGGTCTAATAAGGGGTGTAAGAATGGGTAAAAAGTATCATTTGTAATATTTTCTTCGGAACCTTTACTCAATAAAATTTTTATTGAAAAACAAATACACAATAAACTAATGTCATCTTTGAAAATTGAAATAGCAACCCTAGTTAGTTAACCCTAAAAAGGGCAATCACATTTAAATATTTGGGAACATTTATTGATTTCTATTTTCTACATTAAACCCACATTAAACCATTATTGCACATGCATTACACCTATGGTACATCATTATTACACTGTTATAAGACAACTAAAATGTGATCCACATCGGGATCTTATGAATAGGAACTGTTAATTTATATTTTTTCGTGCGAGTAAACTAATAGAACTTGTGAAAACTTTGAGCACTATTGTTTCCCACTATTGTTTCCCAGTATTGTAAATGTCTAATCCTGGCAGAACCTGCATCTGTAGCCTGTCTTTCAGCTGATACGTTCTAAATTAGCATGCCAGATGAACTCGGCATCTCAAAACTGGGAGCTGTACCAAGTACAAGAAATACTTTGGCAGCTCCGTCTTGTAATAACAAAAACATATCTGCTTTATGTGTGAGTGAGCGTGGCTCTTAATTTCTCAACAGGATTCTTGTTGATGCAGGTCTGCCAAAGTGAACTAGAGCACCTGAATGAGGAGAACTGCATACATTATCTTATTATAGCATGCAACTAACAGCAGTTCCTGCAAAGTGCTTTACATAAACCAGGCACTCGCACTGTAACAACAGGACTTAACAATGCGATGCTGCAAGGAAATTGTTCCCTTAACCCTTGTTTTGTTATAATTGGACATTGTGAAATCCTCTTGAAAAGCAGCGTAAGCTTCTAAGTATATGGCCAAAATGGAACCCTTACTCCATTATTAATTTAAAAGTCAAAGTTGCTTTGGCAGGAAGTGTCTAGTTACACCCAAATAATTGACACCCTGCAGCCACTTAGTATCAGACTTTCATCCAGGCGATGGAATAAAGGGTTGCCAAAGATACAGACTTTTCATCAGGAGACACGGATACTATAGACAACAGTTTCAACAGTGGAATTGGATCCCAGCTATATATTCACCGCAGGCACTCTAATCAGGATATCAAAACCCAATAGCACACTGGGAAGTCTACGTGTTACTTACGGAGTCCTCTATATACATCTCCCTCTGCATCGGCCAGGGTTTTGCCCTGCTCCAAGGTGATCAATTTAGCCAGCTCTTTCTGGAATGTTAAAAAGAGAAAACAGGTTACTTTAGTTCAAATCATAAGAAAAGAGACAAAAAAAACAATTCCTTCCGTGCAAGACAAATTGTAAAATTGAGATGCAAAAGTGATGTATTGATTATTAATTTAAGGCCGACGCGGAAGTCAGCATTGCAAGGGCTCTCGTAACTCAAAGCAATGGGATTTTTCCATTGGATTTTGGAATACTGCAGAAAATAAGATCTGTGGTTCAGAAACCTTTATGATACTTACACTTTTTGTTCAGCAGGATAATATCGACCTATAAACACCACTTATATAATAGTTGAAGCGTAAATTCAATTGCCATGAGTCAAAAGGTAACTTTAGGCTATAAACAAACTACATGACGGTCGAGTAACTTTACGCCACCGCTAAGCTAAAGGCTAACTCATGTACGGCAAAAATGACATTTAGTAGTGTCATTTAGCCACTTGTTAGCAACTGTTGTTTTTAAGACACGTAAATGCTTTAGACGTTCACTAATTGGTTGTTTACTGACGTATTTTATTGCATAGAACAAAACTTGTAAGCTGTTTTAACCACAGACCTTATTTTGTAAATCTAACAAAAACTAAAAAAACTACTGACTTTGAAACAAGAGAGCCTGGAAGTACTTAAATGCGATGTCATTTCTGGGTTTAGGACTCCTTCCTGCACTCATTTTTGGTCAAAGTTGAAAAAGGAGAAGTGACAAATGTCCGTACGATGTTATCCTTGATGAGCTGCTGGTAGCGCAGGAAGATCTGTTGCCTGCTGAGGATGGAGGTATCTGACCAGGGTCTGTAGGCTCTGGAGCACGAGTCCACAGCTGCCAGCATCTCCTCCTGGGTGGCTTTGGGAACGCGACCCACCACCTCATTAGTGGCCTGTGGAGCAGGAGACAGTCCGTAAAAACAACTTGAGAAGCAGGGAAAGTCAATCATTGGTTTTACATAAACTATCAATATTAATTTATTTTTGTGATGAAAGTACATTGCATGCCATAATCATCCATCACTGCCTTGCTAGAGGCTTATACTTGTCAAGCTTTAATACAGCAGCTGGACTGTTGAAGGATATAAAACTGTGAATACTGGGCTTTCATTTCTTAGAAACTGGCAAGACATTTCCTTTCCCCAATGTTCATAAGTTACTACTACAGAGTTGCCCTAGTTATTTGCAACCAGCTTTTAGGAGAGGTCATGTTGCTGCAGCCTTGTAACAGGTTGGATATAGTTCATCTATGAATACTCACAGGGTTGTGAATGTCGAGCCATTCAGAGGTTTTGGACTCAATGAACTTGCCATCAATGAGCAGCTTGGTGGTGGGCTAGAGGATCAGAGAGCATATGGTTAAATCCCAACCTATCTGCTTACATCACTACTCAGTTCATTAAGGACATCTGTGCTACAGCATAAAGAGACGTTCTAAAGTGTTAGATCTCTACGTTTGCTATGCACAGGGTTGGGTGAATAGTTCATTTTAATGTTATACAGTATATGATTCCTTCATGATACGTTTCTGAGCTTGAGTTACATAAGCGGTTCAGAATCACAAACTACAAGACACTAATTCCAAAGCATGTTTTGAGTACAACGCCTACATACAAAAAAAGGAGAACCATTATGGGCACTAAAGTAAATCAGGGTGCATTCTACGACATCAAAACACTTACTTTTTTAATTTACCCACAAATAACTGAACATATAAAAATATGAGCTTTCTTTGTAGTAAGTTGTTAGTTGGAGTTTGAATGGCATATACATAATCTTGGTCATACAAATCAGTATCTTGATTTATTTTATACTAAATGCAAGTATAAAAGTTAGTGCATGTTTTGTATAGTTTGTATGTATTATAGCTTGAGGAAATAGAAAATGAATATGTAGGGTCTCCATGGTTAAGCTTATTTTTTATTTGACAATGAATATTCAATGCTACTAGTAGCTTCTAAAAAAAAGGTTTAAATACCCCTCTAAGGCCACGTTTACACGGAGACGAAACGGGTTGTATCCGCTACAGTTCTCTAACGTATGGACGGTTCGTCCACACGAGGCCGTAACGGAACCGCGGAAACGGAGCCCTCAAACGATAACGGCTCCCAAGGTGGGTAGATCTGCGGACGGAACGCTCTGGGGGGCCAAACGGCTCTGTGTGTACGCCCTATACGATCATTTCCTGATAACAATGAAGCCATAGACCCGCCTCTCCCCACCTCTGCTGCTCACCCCCGAATCATTGCTGATGTGTTTCGCCAACAACAACAACTATGGCGGATCACATGGTTGCTTTCGTGCTCCAGATGCTACTGACCATGCTACAGATGTTAGTGCAAAATCTACAGCTCCTCTACCACAACCATCAGCAACAAGTGGACATGGAGAAATACATGAACTACATGTTGCTAAATCCACCGCGGAGAATAAACAGATGGGCAACCAGGCAACCATGCTCGGGGGTCTTCTTTGGACACGTTTCTTGAGCCGATTCCGCGTGGATGGAAGACTTTTTTGATATCGATTAAAGTTCGTTTTTCCGTCTCAGTGTAAACGTGGCCTAAGGATTCATGCTTAATTAATCCTTAGGTTAACAACCACATGTCGTTTTTTTTTTTAAAAGGGGGACCTATTATTCTCATTTTAAGGTTACACAATAGTATTTTATGGCTCCACTGTGACATGTCACCATGTTTTAATGTTCAAAAAGCTCTTTATTTTTCTCATACTAGGCTTGTTTGAGACGCGTTGCGGCTCGCCTCGAAAGTAGACGAGAATAGCCGATCGCAGCCGGGGGAGGTCTCAAAAAGCTCGCCTGAAGTCGGACAGCTCCGAGTCGGCTTCTTCTTCTGCTGCTGCTTCGCCTCTTCTTCTTCTTCTTCTCTCGGTTTTTTGGCGGATTGCAAACAACTTTAAGGTGCATACCGCCACCTCCGGAGTCGGCTTGACTCGGTTTGCATTTATAAAGAATGCACACATGTGTTTAATTGTTAATGTCAGATATACTAAGTAAATACATTTGTTCCTGCTCAAGATGAGATTCAACTATATTGTTATTGCACAGATTACAGGTACTGAGACAACGAAATGCAGTTTAGCTTCTAACCAGGAGTGCAACAAGCAGTAAAGTGAAAAGTAATGTACACAATCTACAGAATAAAAGATAGAATGAAGTGGATGATGAATAAACAGTGGAGGTTATGAATACACAGATATACAGAAAAGCCCCCCCAGCCTGTAGCA